CAAAAGACAAAAGACAAAAGACAAAAAAAAAAAAAAACCTCAAAACCTTATTCTACATACACATACACATGCACACACAGAGGACATTCACTGCATCTTAGTTTACAATGCCAAATGACAATTTCCTTCAATAAGAGTCAGATTAAATAAATTATGGTACATTCATATAATGGAATACTACATGACAATTAAAAGAATAGCTGCCTCTGTTTAAAAAAAAATGAAGATGATGATATAATAACTAACATTTCCTGACTATGTTGCAGTCAATGTCCTAAGTACTTTAAGTGTGATAATTCATTTAATTCTCACAAAACTGTGACTGGCATTTTACAGTCTACAGTATATGTTAAAAGAAAAAAAACGAGGTGCAGTGTTTAAAGGATATTTTATTTGAGAATGTATTTAAAGGAAAAACACAGTGTGTATACATATGTAATTTGTATATGCATATAAAATATCTATAAAAATATATAAGAAACTATTAACAGTGGTTGCTTATAGTGAAGGGAACTTATTTTTCATTGTCCACACATGTTGGAGTGGTAGGCAGATATGTTTTTAGATGTAAACACTTTTGCACTCTTGAAATTTTTGTTAAGTTAATGTACTTTTTTTTTTTTAAATCAAAAATGAGTACTAAGGGTTGGCCAGTTAGCTCAATTGGTTAGAGCTTGTTGCTGATAACACTGAGGTCTGGGGTTAGATCCCTGTACCAGCCAGTCACCCAAAAAATAAATAAATAAAATTTCAAATAAAATTTACTAAAAATAAGTACCAAAAAAGGCCTAGAAAAATCCCAAGAGCTAGTGACTAATAAAAGATTAATAAGATGACCAGCAAATGGATCTCAAATAGCCACTCACCTATCCACTTCCTCCTTCATGTATGTGGTATAACTGCTGCCATCATAGGACAAGAGTAGTCCTCCATCACTCAGCCGATGCACATCTACTTCCACACACGAGCCGTTCATGATCACCACATAAGAGTTGGGGGACTGTCGTGTCACCTTGTAGAGAACAAGAACCAGAAGGGACAAGTCAGTGTGTCCCTTCCAGGTAGAGCCCCGGAGAAAATTTTCATTTTCTTCAAAGGTATAGGTAAGAAAGATCGGGAGAAAGAAATTCATGGCACTGGTGCTATTTGCATCAGTGTCTGTGGCATGGCTGTAAGCAAATAGGACTACTTTAGTTACCTCTCCCAGCTCTGGTTGTTCCCCATCTCTCCTTTACCTCTTGGCTATATTTGTGAAGCTGGGAAACTAAAAAGATTTTCACGAAATCATCAAATACTGCCTTAGGGTATTAACACAAATAATGGCTATAATTTGGGCCGGCCCGGTGGCGCACTGGATAGTGCGCCGCTTGGGAAGCGCGGCGGCGCTCCCGCCCGAGGGTTCGGATCCCACATGCAGACCGGTTCCCGCTCACTGGCTGAGCGAGGCATGGGAGCGATGCCGAGGGTTGCGATCCCGTTGCCGGTCCCCGGTCCGGTGCGGGGGCAACACTGAGGGTTGCGATCCGTTGCCGGACACGGAAAAAGAAAAAAGACAAAAAAAAAATAATAATAATAATAATGGCTGTAATTTCACTAACACTCCCATCCCTGCACTAAATCAAACTTTTCCCTCTGTCTCAACCTAAAGAAAGCAAGCTAACCAAGAGACAAAAAGTAAGGAACAGGCTTCAATGGGGTTCAAAATACCTTAAGTACATATTTGACTCCTTCATAGATAAGTTCAACATCTACTGTATTCAGAAGCGTATGAGCAGGAAGGACTTGACCCCTGAAAGAACAACAATGGACACACTTACTTCTAGAAAGTTCTAGAAGTTTATCTCAAATGTTACTGATTGTATCCTTTCCTGAATACCAAAAGACTAGAAACAAATTAAATGACCATCTATAAAGGACTGATCACATAAATTATGAAACATCAAGAAATCTCCTTTTTATTTTGCATTATAGTAAAATACACATAACATAAAATTTACCATCTTAACCATTTTTAAATGTACAGTTCTGTAGTGTTAAGTATATTCACACTAATGTGCAACTAATCTCCAGAACTTTTTCAAATGGCAGAACTGAACTCCATACCCATTAAAAACTACTCCCAAGTTCCCCCCTTACCAGTCCCTGGTAGCTACCATTCTAATTTCTGTTTCTATATGTTTGACTACTCTTGATAGCTCATATAAGTGAAAAGATATAGTATTTGTCTTTTTGTGACTGGATTATTTCACTTAGCATAATGCCTTCAGGGTTCATCCATGTTGTAGCATGTGTCAGAATTTCCTTCCTTTTTAAGGCTTAATATTCCATTGTATGTATGTACCACATTTTGTTTGTCCTCCATCAATGAACATTTGGGTTGTTTGCACCTTTTAGCTACTGTGAATGCTGCTGCTATGAACATAGGTGTGCAAGTATCTTTTTGAGACTGTGCTTGCAATTCTTTCAGAATATCCAGAAGTGGTATTGCTAGATCATATGATAATTCCATTTTTACTTTTTTTGAGAAATTATAATACTGTTTTCCATAGTGGCTGCACCATTTTACACAAGGGTCCGAATATCTCCATGTCACCAACACTTGCTATTTTCTGGTTTTGGACAGTCTGCATACCAATGGATATAAGGTGATATTTCATTGTGGTTTTGATTTTGATTTGCATTTCCCTAATGATTAGTGATGTTACATATCTTTTCATGTACATAATGAAGTGTTATACAGCCATTAAAAAGAAAGATGAAGGCTGTTATGTACTAATATGAAACACTATCTAAAACATACTCTTAAGTGAAAAAAGCATGGTGAAGAACAGTTTCAGAGTATATTACCATTTGTGTTTTAAAAAACCAGAAGGTGGGAAGAAACAAATATTACATGTATATGTTTATGTAAGTTTAGGATATGACTGGAAAGTCACAAAAAAAAAACTGGTAACATGGATTGACTACAGGGATGAAAACTGGGTGGCCAAGGAACAGAGGGAAGACAGAGATATTTCACTACATATCCTTCTGTGCCTTTTGAATTTTGAACCATGTGAATGTATTAACTGTTCTTAAAAATAAATGAAATTAAAACTTGAAAAAATAATAAAAACTTCAGTGTAATCAACCCTCATGCGGTCCTAGAAACAAGGACTTGATTTGGGGATCTTAAAAAAAGGCAATAGGCTGGGTGGAGGACAAAGGAAGGAATTTACCAAAGAGAAAATATTGTCAAAAAAGGTTTTTGATAATAATAAAGAGAGGGAGTCATAAAGCAAGTGTGGCAAGTTGTTAATAATTAGTGAAGGTTAGTCAATTAGCTCCACTGATTAGAAGGTGGTGCTGATAAAGGTCAAGGGTTTGGATCCCCATTCCAGCCAGCCATCAAAAAAATAAGTAACTAATAGTTAGTGAATCTGGGTGAAGAATATATAGAAGTTCTTTGTACTATTTATGCAACTCTTAAAAGTCTGAAATTATTTCAAAATATAAGTTTTAAAAACAAATTAAAAATAACTTTAAAAAGACAGGAAGGGAGGCTTGCACAGAAGATTGTGTGACATATATGTGCACCAGTAGGGAAACCATTTAACTAGGTTAGAGATTGTATATTAAGGCATAGAAATAAGTAAGACTGAATTTGTAAAAAGGGGCTAAAGTATACAGGGAGTTGAAAGTCACATTGAGGGATTTAGATTTGAAACAGGAGGGAAATGCAAGCTGCTGAAGGTTTTAGTGCATGAGTGTAACATAGTGAAAGATATTCAACATAGGACTTGAATCTCAGTTCAATTTTTAACATTTTGATTCTTTTCTTCCTTTCAGACACTACAAAAGGGAGTTGATATAAGTCTAAGAACATAAAAGAAAATAAAGAGCCTTTGATTAAAGTGTTTTAAAATGATTAGCCTTTTGGACCATTCCTCCAGGGACTCAAAGGTGAAGCGTAGTCTCCAGAATCAGTGGTAGAGATTAGTTCAGACCCACACATGTCTGACTCTCTACCTGAAAGACTCATAAGGTCATCTTGAATATCGGCCTCAATTATGAATTCTTAGAAAGTGTTGCAGGTAATACACGAAATATTTAGGGTTCAATATTATGGAGAAATACCAGGTTTTTATCATCAGGGTTTGGAGACATTTCATGTTTGAACAGGACAGAATGTTTACTGTAGCTGGATTCCAGTTTTCAAAAAAGCAACCTCTTCTAACTGTGGTATAAGCTAATTTCTACAATCTGCAGTTAGAGTTCCAAAATAATTTGCCACAAACTCCTACATCCTCTCTCTGCCTTGCCACCATGGTCCATGAATAACAAGTAGCACTCACAAGCTGCCGGGAATGGACAGAAGAATAAATGGGTCTTTGAGCTTCAGTCCTGTGCTCAGGACGATTGGTTCACTGGTGCAGCCTACAAGAAACAAAGACTACCTTTCTAAGGAGTGAAGGAAGTTAGAGATGCTATTCCGCAGGCTCACATCTGCCACATGGAGAGCTCCACATACAACTCCCAACATTGTGTCTGGTCGCTCGGCCTGAAAAGAAAAGAGGGCATAGCAAAAGCATAGCCACATGGCACCATGGTCCCTCAAAATCAGGCTCAAATTTGCTGTGAAGAAACAGCTAGCATTGAAAATCTCCATCCTTATTGCCCAATTGGTTTTTCAGATAAAAAGATTTACTTTTAAAATTTGAATAGGGGTACCATTTGAATAGAGATGAAAAACAACTTTCCTTTCACTCTCCCTAAAATTTCCACTGAGCCAATCAAAAAGCAGCTCAAAAACAGGCTTTCATCAGAAATAAATTTTAAAAGGTGCAAAGGTTTGGCTACTGATAAACTCAAAGAAAAATGGTATACAGCCAAAATTTGGACCCTTAAAAAATTTAGATGAATCTAATGATTTTATACAAAATCTTGAGTAATCTAGAATGGCCTAGCAATTCAGGAACAAGAGATAACTCTGTTGATTTAAATGAGGCCCCTCTCATCAGCACTTGGTAGATGCAGAAATTGGTTAACTCTGAACAAGATTTAAAATCAAATGAAGAAAGAAAAAATACTTCAATCCCTGCATGCCTCTCTTCAAATATGCCCAGAAAGTAATACTGAAACATATAAAATGACTATGTAACACAGACTCAAGAACCCTTATGTGCTAAAATTACACTGACTCCTAGATTTTTCCAGATAGATCAAGAACCATCTACGTAAGAATCAAATAAATTTCATCTAGTGACAGGGACTGATCACACCACAAGCCTACAAAAACCCACTCCCACTAGCTATTTATACAAGCAGAGCAGAGAAATACACACCTGTACTTTTTCTGCTATCAGTCTGTCCAGCCAGCCAGTGTCAATTCTATTCAACTGAAAGCTTTCAGTCTCTAACAATTTGATCAGGTATTCAACTGTAGTTCGAAAGTCACCCCGAATAGATAGCTCCTTCAAAGCTACCACCATGTTTCTGCGAAAAGAACAGAAGCCAATCTGTTTCAGCCAAAAATGTTTCAGTGTTTTTCAATCATTTTAAAGAATAATTTCATTCCTTTGGAATCTTAGGAAGGCAAGGAGAGAGACAGACATTTCCAGGATACAAATGAGGGTGCACATGTAAGAATGCTCATTGACGTGCATTACAGATACAGAATTGGAAAGAAGTCAGTAAATCTATGAACTCTGGTATTACCATCAGAGCATCAGCAAATCGCATACATTTCATTATATAGACCACAGAACAAATTATATGCAAACCACCCTTAGCTTTCACTTATTAGACTTCCATCATTCCATTCATTTATTGCTGGCTAACTAGAATCAGAGTGTTAATCTTCCCCATCCTTACATCTGATTTATTTTATTAAGGTGTATTTTATCCTTACACCTTATTTATTTTATATATTATTTATATACAATAAAATATACTTATTTTAAGTATATAGTTCAATTTTGACAAATGAACCTTATTTAACGTTTCCAACAATGAGCAACTGAGTACAGTCAGATATCAGCCTGACATGGCATGTAAATGTTTTCAAGCTGCATTTTGAACATCTGTGCGATGACTTGCTTATTACTTTTATTTCCCAATTAATTGTAAAATGACCTAATTTTAACAGAATTTCAAATTCTATGGAGTTTTTCTATACTATATATTTGTGCCCAGTGTCTTTCCTACACAGGGTGGGTACTTACTTCAACAAATACTTGTTATGCACATCACATACTCAAGACATATATTAGGCTCATAAAGAAGAAAGAATATAGATAAAATAACTGTTTTCAAAATATATGGTAGAATATCATAAATGCCAGTAGAGAGTCAAGTGCTTCTCCAAGAGAGGTTTTTATAAGGAAGAAAATCCACCTCACTATGGTTTCATGAAGAATGTGGAATTAGACATGAGCTAAAAGTATAGCTGAGATTATGACCGTGAGAGGAACAGTATTCCAGGTGGTCCAGGCATTCCCTCAGCCTAGAACATTATGTTGCCTACCTTCTTCCTCCTCTCTATTCCCTCCTTTGGTTTGACTTATTCCGATACACTTTTGAAGTATCAGTCTAGAGGTGACTTCCTTCTGGAAGGCTTCCATGAACCACTCTAGACTGAGTTAGCTGATTCAGATATACACTCCTATATGTCCTTAATAATCCCCCTATCATCACACTTAATACATTGTGTTTTAATTGCTTATTTGTCTTTCTGCCTTTGGATTATAAAGTTCCATGAGAGCAGAGACTCTATTTTGGTCCTTACTATATTGCCAGAACCACTACATAGGAGATACTCAGTAAATATTTGGTGAAGTGAATGAATGAATGGACAGAGGGAATGGTAAGAACAAAGGGGAAGAGAGAATAAAATATGGATCATGTTCAGGGAATGGTATGACTGAAGCAGAGGTTATGAGGACAGGGACTAGTGGCAAATCCATTCACTCAACAAACATTTACTGAATGCTTACTATGTTCAGAGGACACAGCAGTAGCAAGATAGACATGGTCCTGTTCGCATGGTATTTAGATTATGATCTATGGGAAATAATGCTGAAAATATGGGTTGGGACTATTCTGAAGAACAAGACTCCAAATGCCAAGCTGAAGAATATAGACCTAATATAATGAAAGAAAGAAGGAACAAAGAAAGCTCTGAGCTGAAGAATGAACTATTGGCATGGTATCAAGAAGCAAACTCATTGTACAGACCATATTTTTAATATGCTAAAAGTTAACACAGTTAACTTTATACTATTGAGAAATGTATAGAGCAGGTCGCAAGTAAGGAACAAGGCTTCTGGACCAGGACGTGTCCCATAGAAAATACAAAGTGGTCTGCCTAATCAGGACTTAAACCTAAATGCCAATAGAGGCGAGTTTGGGAACACAAATGAGTGAGGCAGACAGAAATAAGTGAGGCAGACTTGACGGGGGCTGTGTGAACTAAAGAGTTCACATCCCATCTAAAAGAAGCAGCCACACAAAACTTAAGCTAACTTTTACCAAGTGGAATATAAAACCACCCCAAAAAAGAAAAAAGAAAATAAATAAATAAAACCAATGTTGTCTTTATCATCCATATTTTAAGAGATAGCAGAAATCCATATTTTTATTCATCCTCCTAATATTTTAATATTGGCAAATTAAAAAAAGAAAAAAAAAAAAAAAAAACTTAACACTCTGTGAGCAAATCAAAACACATCCCTAAGGTGACACTGGCCAGAAAGCCAGCAATTTGCAAGCTCTAGTGTAAACCTTCTTCACTTTGGCAGAGTAGGATATGGCAGTAAAAGAAAAAAAAGGTAACTTTATACCAATGCTTTTTCTGGTCGCACTGCTTTAATTTTGAAAAATTCTACCTATAGTTTTGAATAAATGGGAAGAGTTGTAAAAGACAAAATAGACTTCCCTACTTCTAAAAACATTATTTAAAACTAACAATAATAATATAAATACTAATTGATTACCTACTCTGTGTACAGTTCAAGGGGTGACGACAATGGTATTAAATGTTTAGTACAAGGCACTAAACAATTAAAAAACTGAAAGGACTAGTTCAATTTTCAGAATTGGATAGATATCCTAAAATATCTAAGCTGTCAAAATTACCTCCTGAAAGCCTACTTTTTTAGGCAAGCAAAACTGCTGTTAATTTAATATGAAATGTTCATGATTAACAGAATATTAACGACAATTATGATATACAACTACATTTGTACAAGCCTTGTATACTTTATAGCATACTGAGGTCTCATATAAGCAATACTGACAATTCTTTTATGCCCTTTTTGTAAAACAGTATAAATTTACTATTTTAAATAACTATAGGAGTCATTGGTGACCATATAGTCATGGTGACTAGAGCTAATAATATACAAGTACTGTATATCTGAGAATTGCTAAGGAAGTAGATTTTAAGTGTTCTCACCACAAAAAAAATAAGTATGTGAGGTAATACATGTTTTATGTAGATTGATTTAGCAATTTCACAATGTATACATGTATCAAAACATCTTGTGGTACAACATAAATATATAATTTTTACTTGTCAAAGTCAAATAAAAAATTTTTTTAATGGCTATTGAACATTCACAGCTATACCTTTATTTCTATAACAAACGACAGACCTTATCTATGATTTGTTACCAAGCTCTTGGTCAAGAATCTACCTTTAGACCGGTTCCCGCTCACTGGCTGAGCGAGGTGCGGGCACAACACTGAGGGTTGCGATCCCGTTGCCGGTCCCGGTCCGGTCCAGGCGCGACACTGAGGGTTGCGATCCGTTGCCGGTCATGAAAAAAGACAAAAAGGAAAAAAAAAAAAAAAGAATCTACCTTTCCCCAATAACAACACTGTTCCTGTGGAAAAATATGATACCCTTAAAGCAACCAATTTTTTTTACATTTATCAAAAATATTTAGGGCCGGCCCATGGCTTACTTGGGAGAGTGTGGTGCTGGTAACAGCAAGGTCATGGGTTCAGATCCCTATAGATACAGATAGCCAGTTAGCTCACTTGGGAGAGCATGGTGCTGACAACACCAAGTCAAGGGTTAAGATTCCCTTACCATTCATCTTCAAAAAGAAAAAAAAATATTTGAAAGCAAAAATATTTGAAAATTCTCAAAAAAAAGGCAGAAAAACATCTGCCAAACACACTGCATAATTTAACACAACATGAATGCAAGAACAATTTAAGATATATTTCTTCAAAAAGGTTGTCCATATTAATTTACTTTATAAAACGGAATCAAATCAAATGCTACTATACTCACGAAATTGCTTCCTCTCTGTTTTCTCCCCAGGAAAAGCAGTGTCCAAACTGAGAATCAGCAAATTCATGAAGTCCCCCAGCAGCAGCAACACTGAAATAACCCCAAACATTCTTATTGCTGCGGAAATTTAGTTCCTGAACTGTTCCGGAGCTGGGCTTAAAACCCTATTAAAGAATGAAAAATATGAGAGACTATATTACATTTCCAAGGAAGAGAACATTTATCTATTCATTGTTTAGATTCTGTGTTAATCACACAGAGAAGCAAAAATAATTAATGAAAATCATAAAGGCTAAGACCTAGTGCTTCAGATCCAAGGATTCTATAGTGACTAAAGTGAGATTAAATGACCAGTGAATTAATGATCTTTTTATAATTTTTTAATTATCATTTTTAATTGACATATAATAGTTGTATATATTTATGGGGTACAATATGATATCTGGATACATATATCAATGTGTAATGATTGAATCAGAGTAATTAGCATATCCATCACCTCAAACATCTTTCATTTCTTTGTGTTAGGAACATTCAAAATAAATTCTTCTAGCTATTTGAAATTATGCAATAAATTGTTGTTAACTGTAGCCCTCCTACAGTGTTATAGTATTCTAGAACTTATTCCTCCCAGTAGATGTAATTTTGACCAACCTCTCCCTAACCCTCCTCCTGCTCCCCTTCCTAGCCTCTAGTAACTATTATTCCGCACTCTACTTCTGTGTGATATTAGCATCCTCATCATATGTGAGAACATGCAATATTTTTCTTTCTGTGCTAGGTTTATTTCACTTAATATAATGTCTTCCGGGCTCATCCATGTTGCCATGAATGACAGGATTTCATTGCAAAGATCATTCATTATCTGCTCTGAGAAACCTCTATAAATTTCCCTCTCCAGAAGAAGTCCTAAGATATTTCAAAAGTATGCCTTCAGATACTATCTTAATATTAAAGGTCACTAGGAAAAAAAAGGTGTACACCT